TCTAAAATGGGTATTTCGCAACAAGATGGATAAAGAAGGAAATGTAATAAGGAACAAGGCGAGACTTGTGGTGAAAGGATACTGTCAGGAAGAAGGGATCGACTATGAAGAGACTTTCGGTCTAGTAGCAAGGTTAGAATCCGTTCGAATTTTCCTAGCATACGCTGCACACAAAAACTTTGAGGTATTTCAGATGGACGTCAAGTGTGCATTCCTAAACGAAGAATTAGAAGAAACCATATATGTTGAGCAACCACCAGGTTTTGTGAAAAAAAAGTATCCCAATCACTGCTATATTTTGGACAAGGCAGTTTATGGTTTAAAGCAAGCGCCAAGGGCCTGGTATGAAACTCTAACTCGCTTTCTTAAAATGTCCAAATTTAAACAAGGTTCGGTTGACCCAAACTTCTTTCGCAAGAAAGAGGGTGACCACTTAATAATCGTCCAAATTTATGTCGATGACATCATCTCCGGCTCTACGAATCCTAGCTTAATAGTTGAATTCAGAAAGCTGATGGAGACTAAATTTGAAATGAGTTCCATGGGTCCAATTAACTTTTTCCTTGGACTAAATATAAGACAGGGACCAGAAGGCATTTTCATAAATCAGGAAGCTTACACAAAGACCTTACCGACCAAGTTTGGAATGATGTGAGACTCAAGAGTGAAGGTTCCAATGGCATTCGGAACGAAGCTAACATCATCTCTGGAAAAACCGGCTGCTGACATGACTCTCTATCGTCAAATGATAGGCTCATTGATGTATCTAACAGCTAGTAGACCAGATGTTATGTTTTCCGTTTGTTATTGTGCCAGGTTTCAAGCAAATCCACACGAGCCTCACATGGTGGCTGTCAATAAGATCTTTAGATAACTGAAGCGAACCTCATCTCTTGGTATATGGTATCCAGCGAAATCAGGGTTCTTCATTCAAGCATTCTCAGACGCTGATCTTGGAGGATGTGGTTTGGATAGAAAAAGCACTACTGGCGGATGTCAATTTCTCGATGGCAAACTCGTCAGTTGGCAGTCTAAGAAACAAACATGTGTATCCTTATCCACAGTCGAAGCTGAGTACATCCCCGTAGCGTCATGTGCTTCACAAGTTATATGGATTCAAAGTCAATTAAGAGACTACGGCCTGAACATGAAACGAATCCCACTTTCCTATGACTCTGAAAGCGCAATTCGCATATGTCACAACCCAGTGCAACACTCAAAAACGAAACACATCGCACTAAGGTATCACTTCATCAAGGATCATGTGGAAGATGGTAATGTCGAGATTCATTTTGTTCGATCTGCTGATCAATTAGCTGACATATTCACGAAAGCCTTGCCTGAAGCAACCTTTAATAGAATACTCCAAGGCTTAGGAATGATGGAAGCTGAATCAGTTCCGAAACCACCTTCGCTTCCATGAGTATCACTTTCGCTTTCGCTCGATAAGTTTTTATCAAGCGAAATGAGGCAAACGTTCGCTCTATTTCGTTTTCGTTTTTTCGGGACACGAAATGGAACGAACACTTGCTCCTATTCGCTTCACTCATTCTTTATAAGCGAACGGTTGGTTAGTGATATCACTTCTTACTTGTGGTTTGGAACTCCTGTATCTTTTGTATATTATGCAGTCTAAAAGTTTGTTTCACATATTTTATGTTTTTATTTATTTTCAAAAAATCCAAAAAGATTTTTCTTTCTGTTTTTAATTATTTTTCAGAAAAATCAAAAAATACAAAAATATTTTCCTTTTGTTTTATTTCGAAAATCAAAAATACAAAAATATTTTCCTTTTGTTTTATTTCGAAAATCAAAAATACAAAAATATTTTCCTTTTGTTTTATTTCAAAAATAAAAAATATAAAAATAATTTCCTTTTGTTTTATTTCGAAAATAAAAAATACAAAAATATTTTTATTCTTTGTGTTTATCTTTATTTTTTAACTTTACTTTCACAAAGGTGCTTATTTGATGCTGATCTCAATTCGCGTCATGAGGCTGGTATAATTTCTTCATCTTTATACTAGCTAGGTGTCTCTAGATGCATGCTACAGCATGTTGTCTAAAGCCTCAACGCCTCTAAAATGAAACCTTATTGATTCGATGTATACAAATGGTTTCTTCCCAATCAGGCTGCTAAATTCACTTAAGTCATGAGCTACCTTACTCTTCTCACAATGAGTTAAGAGTTATCTGCTTGGTCACTTTCACATAGCAGATGTACTTTCGTTTCTTACACCACCTCAACACTTTTCTCCATCAATTTCGTTTCATAAACGTGACCCTTGAGACTCTCAGCATTTACCACTGAGGTTTACGGTTACACAACATCTGTGTTGATGATCTTAGTTTCGTTTTACCACGTGCTAAGTGAAACCCACAATCCAACACCTTTAATGAATTGACGGTGAAAAATTGAACGTTCTAGTTTTTCACCAACACACCAACGATGACCACTTTTGATTGTTGTTTCATGGAATCTCTTTTATTTTTGCGAGATCTTTATGAAATTGTCTAAAACGAAGACATTTCTTCCCAAAAGATCCAGTTTTGTTTTTGTTTTTGAGATTTCTAACATTTTACCAAGTCACTGAAAAATTATTAAACCTACTTGATGTTATAGGCTGCACTGGCCATACAAGTACTTCATCCAACTTTCGGTCTTATATCAAGTTCGTAGTTTTGTTGAAGCAAAAGCCACCTCACAAGCCTGAATTTAAAAAGATGCCTTTCAATGTTTCTTAACAAACATTTGATCGTACTTCAACGAGAAACCACACAGACACTTCTCAGTCTCTCTTGAATTTGAAGGAAGAGAATCGTGCCCGGGATCCTCAGTTTCGTGTCATATATGACATCATTAAATCCCACAGATATACTTTGCTTTATTTCTTTTTCTTTGGAACAGTCTTGCACGAAGATCTTTATGATTTTCCAAAAATCTAGTTCGTGGTACTTATGGTGTTTTTCAGATTCACAGTTTCGTTTTTCGGTGTAACAGTTGTTACATCGCGCTTTTTCAGGCGTTTTTCAGAGAAAATCACGCAAACGTCATCAAAGATCTTTCTCTCTCCTGGAAAATCGTATAAAGGGCTTTCACAAATTCCTTATTTTTCTTTACCACTCTCCTTACTCTCAAGAAACCTAAAGGTGATTTCTATTACGGTTCATCTTCTTCCTTACGAACCTGCAACAATGGCTGATTCATCATCTGTTCAAGATCACACTGCTCAGTCCTCTTTCCTCACCATCAAGCCCAACCAGAACTTGATCATCGATTTGGCTCTGTTCAAATACGACGTGTTCATGCTTCCCATTGTCGAGTGCTTGAAGTACTCACCTTTTGTTATTGCCTTAACCAAGGTTGAATGTGTTCCAATGTTACTATTGTCGAACGACTTTTCATCTGCTAAGTATGTCAAGGAGGAGGAAAAGATCATCTTTGAAATTCTTGACAAGAAACACTCGGTATCAAAGTCTAGGTTTTGCTCTCTTCTAGGGTAAACTATGTCGATTCATTGGTGAATCCGGAGTCTATTTCTACTGCCCAGATCTTCGATATGTTCTGCCAAATGGGGTATACTGATCTTCTCACTCATATCACCAAGTTCAAGAAGTCATGTCTTCCACCCCAATGGAATGGTCTATTTACTCTTCTCTTCAAGGCTTTCTCTGAGAGAGTAACTGGATCCGACTTTGCTAGCAAATCATTCATGACAATCGTCTATGGCCTCTACCATGGGATTAACCTTGATTATGGGTCCGTTCTTTGGGCTCAATTGGTACAGAGTATGAATTCTTCGTCTCGACACAACGAGATCTCTTGTGCACGTTTCTGGACGATTGTGGTGCAGCGGGCAATGGAAAATTTCAATGTTTCGATGATGGCAGACTCATTAATGTCGTCGGTTTGCACCTTCCACACTACGAAGATTATTATCACTGATAATTCGAAGATTTTATTTGTGGGTTCCATTCCGGAGACTATGTATCGTTGTGTTCCAGTTGCTAGCAAGATTTTGGAGGAATACAAAAAGCTTCCATCTTCAGGATCTCTCACCATTACTCCTGAGATGCGTCTGTCCATTGATGAAGCTGATAAAGTGAAGAAGGGGGGTAAGTAAAAACAACTGAAAGAAGGTCCCTTTGAGCCGGTTCTTACTCCAAAGAAGCGAAAGGAGAAATTTGCTCCTTCTGGAGTCAATCCTAAGAGGCGAAAGCAACCTGATCGCAAGCGAAAGACCCCAACACCAAGTGCAAGCGAAGGTTCAGATTCTGATTTACAATCTGATAATCATAATAGGGAGGAGCATCAAGTTCGCAACAAGGAGGATGACATAGCTCACAATGAAGAGGAACTCGTTCAGAACATAAAACGCACATCCAATCCTGAGGTAACTCCACCTATTAATGATTTTGTTCCTTCTCCTCCTCCCTCACCTAAAACCGCCTCTATTCCTATTACCATTGCCTCATGCCCTTCACCAGTTTCTTCTCAACAACAAACAAGCATTCCTATTTCCATCCCACTCTTCACTGATTCAACAATAGCTCCTACCATCTCCAACCCACCTTTCGCTTCGGTCAACATATCTGATACGAGGGCTAAAACTTCAGGTTTCTCCACTCTTGTTTCACCTCCCATTTCCCCTCTTAACCGTAATGACCCATACATGGTCTTTTGTGTTGACGAATATGAAGATCTTGGGGGTTTTACTTACAGTCCCTTCCAAATCCAGACTGAGAGTGAAGACGAGGTGCAAGTCACTAAAGGGCAACTCCAGTCCCTACATGAAAAGATTGACCAACTGATTCTCTCTAACAAAGCTTCCTCTACTGATGCATACACCAAAGCAGTTGTTGAGTCTCTCTTTGAGCGAATCATGAAGCAACACTCTGCTACTGTTGCAACATCCAATAAAGTTGTCGCCGATTCTGCTGAGGTTTGCAAGTCCACGAGTGAAAAAGTAGAAAAACTAATTGAAGAAAGTAACTCTTTCATGGAGAATTTGCAATCCACTTTCAATTCCAACACCACATCAGCAAATGAAGCATTAAAGAGTCTGGGCTCTCTCTTCAAGACTGAGAAGACGAAACTCCAAGAGATTCGTATTGGTCTTAAAACTGATCATGAATCTTTTCAAGCCACTATCTCGTTTCAGCTTTCTCAGCTTAAAGACGAACTGGTAAAGGAGAGTACCCTCAAGGACTCTCTCGCTCTCAAGTCAGAAGAAGCCAAGGTGTTAAGCACCAAACTCAAAGCTTCGGAGAAGCAGGTCCTTGATCTGTTATCTAAGAAGGCAGTCATGCGAAGCTGTATAACTTATGTTACTGGAATGCTCTCGGATATCATTGAGACCAGGGACTCCATGATCACCATCACCATGCATAAGCATCTAGCAGAAAAGTTAAGGCCAGTCTTCACCATGCTTCACCGCCTTGAAGGTGTTTCTGATAAATCCTTTCATCCGAAACAAGGGCGAGAAAGTGTGGCTGGTGGATCAAGAAAAGAAGGACCTAAAGCTCCTGTCAAGCCTATTGTCAAGAACGAACCCAAAGGCAAAGAAAAGTTGTTCCGTGACGACCCAATAATTAATAATGAAGACGAAGAAGAGCCGACTGAAGAAGAACTGAAAACACGAAAAGTTCGTGAAGCTGAACTGGATGAGCACCAGCAAATCATCTGTGAAGCTGAAGAAAAAGAAAGGGCTGAGAAAGAAGCACATGATACTCTTCAGAGCAAAAAGATCTTATTCCCCAAATGGACCTTGAAGCGAATCTAGTGCGATGCTGTTGATTTTCCAAGCCAGTATTGGTTAGAACCGGTAGTTTTGTTTGATCTTCAAAACACACCAGACTCACAACTGGATATGCCAATTACTCCGAAAGCCTTTAGATTTCATTCTTTTGTTAAAGTGGCCAACGCTGCATTCACAGACAGTGAAGCTGATCATATGCTATTCTCATTTTATCTGAAGCATATGAAGCCACAATACGAAACCATGTCATTGAGCAAAATTACCGGTGTAAAGGTTACAGGGCCGATCGAGACTGATAGCTTTCTGAATGCAAAGTTTAAAGTGGCAAGAGGTTCAACCAGCCAATGCTACGAATTTACTCTTGTAGATCTTCCATGTCTTAACCCATATGACTGGTTCATTCTTTACAATATATTGCTGAAGGAAAAAGAAAAATATGAACCTGTCATGTCTCATCTCAAGCACATGATAAAGTCCTATATTCAGGAGATTGGGGAGATGTATGTTGAAGTTGCTGGTGTCTTGCGAAAGAAGCCTTATGTTGTTCTTAAAGAAACTCCTAAGGATTTTGAAAAGTTGAATCCAGGGAAACTTTACAGTGGAGATTGGTTTGTCGTTTATTCTACTAGGGAACAAACTGGAGCAGACTTTCGCAAAGGATACTTCTATATCTCTGATAAGCATCTCTATACCACAACCTTCCTTGAGTACATTTTGGAGCAGGTGAGCAAGTTCAAGGGCAACAACAAAGATGATATCAAGTGCTTCTCAGATATGGTTCTATGGTACATTGAGGTTCGCCAAGCAATTTATGTTATGATTCCGAAGATGTATGATGTGCAGAAGCGAATCCAAGGCTAAAGGGTTCGGGCCTCAATGGACGCAAAGGGGAAGATTGTTGGGTATAATAGATTGCGTCATTGTGCTTATTAGTTAAATATTTGTATTCGGTATTGGGCCTGTCCAAGACGTATCATTTATTAGGGTTTAAGTATTAATAGTGCATGCATGCACCGTAGATCATTAACGTTTTTGATAGAGATATTCTTGTCAACCCTAGCACGCCTCTACAGTTGAAATTCTTCATCGAGTTCATCTGAGGCGTGACTTTTAATCATTCGACACATTGTTGATTCATTCTGTGTTCTTACTTCACTTCGTGTTCATATTATACTTGTTCATAATCTATTCGATCTATAAGGATTTTAGCCTTATCAAGTCCTATGAGGACTACTATCCCTATGAAATGTATCAAGATTTGATGGAAAGATGCCATCAAAGTGCTCTGTAATAGAGGTATGAGATCATTGCCTCCATGATCACAACTAAAATGAAGGATGGTGAACCCATCACGGCCCACTAGCAAAAGATGCAGAGATTCGTGGACCGCTTGCTAAAATTGAATGTCAATTTTGATGAAGAGTTGGCCATAGATATTATTTTACACTCTTTACCTTCTTGTTATGATCAGTTTTGTATGACCTATCATATGACAAGGAGGAGGTCACTCTTAGAAAGCTTCAAGGCCTTTTAAGGACTGCAGAAAGCGACCTGAAAATAAAATCGGTTGTGTCTACTCCTACTACTACTACTTCTGCCCCTGTTCTGGCAATCAGACATGGGAAGGGAAAGAAGAGGAAGGCTCCCTCCAAGATCCACAAGGGAAAGTCTCTTGATGGATCCTCTTCTAGTGGGACCAAAGCTGGTTCTGCTAATTCCTGTTCAAATCCGAAGGATGCTGATTGCTTCCATTGTCATGAAAGAGGGCACTGGAAACGAAGCTACCCCACGTACTTGCAGGGCATAAAGGATGGGAAGATTAAACCCTCCTTTGTAGGTATTTACACTATTCAATCTAATAAATCATCACATGCTAATTCTTGGGTCCTTGATACAGGTTGTTTATTTCACATTTGTTCTGATTTGCAGGACTAAAAAGAAGTAGGGATGTGGAGTACGGGAAGATAAACTTAATCATGGGAAATAGGAAAATGTCGCCTGTGACCAAGATTGGAGTTTACTCTTTATTGCTTAGTAATGGTTTAAATTTAGATTTGAATAATTGTTGTTACTCATCCGATACGGCGAGAAATATTATTTCCTTTCATAGTGTGTACAAACAAGGTTTTATCTTTTCTTTTAATAATGAAGTTGGTACTATTAATGCTTATTATAATGGTGTATTTTATTTTGAAGCATTACCTTGCAATGGTGTATATGAAACTTTGAATGTTGTAGATAACCTAGGAAATAATGTGTTACACATTGATCTTTCCAATGATTTGGATAAGGCATGGTTGTGGCATTGTCTTCTTGGACATGTCAACAAGAACCGCATAGCCCAACTCCAAAATGATGGAGTTTTGGAGTCATTCGACTTAAAGTCGGATGACACTTGCGAATCTTGTTTACTTGGAAAGATGACCAAGTCACCCTTCACTGGTTCTTGTGAAAGGGGTGAAGGTTTGTTGGATCTCATACATACTGATGTGTGTAGACCATTTAGAACCGCCACAAGGGATGCTAACCGCTTCTATGTAACTTTTACTGATGAACCTTTGAAAAGTTCAAAGAGTTTAAGCAAGAAGTGGATAGTATCTTAGTATCGAGTTCCTTGACTATCTTAAGGAATGTGGAATTGTTTCACAATTGACGCCACCTAGGACACCACAACTTAATGGTGTGGCTGAGAGGCGCAATAGAACCTTGCTAGACATGGTTTGTTCCATGATGAGTCGAGCTTCGTTACCTATCTCATTCTGGGGGTATTCCTTAGAGACTGCCGCCCATATCCTTAATCTAGTCCCTACCAAAAAGGTTTCCAATACACCTCACGAGATGTGGCCAGGGAAGGTTCCCTCGTTAGACCACATCAAAGTTTGGGGTTGCGAGGCTTTCGTTAGACACGAGACTCATGACAAGCTCGAACCTCGGAGTGAGTGATGTATTTTCATCAGCTACCCGCAGAAGTCCTATGGAAATCTCTTCTATAGACCGAGTGATAATGTTGTCTTCGTTGCAAGGAGATGAGTCTTTCGTGAGAGAGAACTCATATGCGAAGGGAACAGTAGGAGAAATATTGACCTTGAAGAGCTTCAAGAGTCAAGCGGTGAAGGAACCTCAAACACTAGCAATCAACCCGAGGAGGAAACTCCGGTTGAGCCAATTGACTAGTCCATACCTCTCATGCATTCCAGTAGAGTTAGTGTTCCACCTGTGTTATATGGTTTTCATATAACAAATGAAGGTGATACATTTATTAGTGATAGCACACTGGTAAATTTGGATGAACCTAATAACTACAGGGAAGCCATGGCAGGCCCCGAGTCTGCAAAATGGAAAGAGGTTATGGACAGCGAGATTCAGTCCATGTATGACAATCAAGTTTGGAACTTGGTTGACAATGTAACGGGTCATAAGACATTCGGTTGCAAATGAATCTTCAAGAAGAAGACTGACATGGATGGGAAAGTATACACATATAAGGCGTGATTGGTTGCAAAGGGCTTTACTCAAACTCCGGGAGTTGACTATGATGAGACCTTCTCACCAGTAGCGAAGATTAAATCTATAAGGGTTATGCTAGCTATAGTTGCATTTCATGACTATGAAAATATGGCAAATGGATGTCAAAACTACTTTCCTTAATGGAAAATCGGCTGAAGATGTTTACATGAGTTAGCCAGAGGATTTTGTCAATGCAAAGTACCCTAATAGAGTGTGTAAGCTTGAGAAGTCCATTTACGGTTTAAAACAAGCATCTCGCAGATGGAATATTTGTTTTGATGAGAAAGTCAAAGAGTTTGGATTTTTGAGAAGCGAGGATGAGTCCTGCGTATATGTCAAAGCTAGTGGGAGTATAGTCAGCTTTCTGGTATTGTATGTAGATGGCATACTACTTAGAGGAAATGACATCCCAACCTTGCAGGAAGTCAAGTCCTGGATTGGGAAATGTTTCGCTATGAAGGACCTCGGAGAAGCTGGTTATATTCTAGGGATAAAGATATTGAGAAACAGAAGTAAAAGACTAATAGGACTTAGTCAAAGTACCTACTTGGACAAGGTGTTGAAACGTTTCAGCATGGAGAACTCTAAGAAAGATGACTTACCAATCCAAAGCAATACCAAACTGAGTAAGACTCAAAGTCCGAGTACAGAGGCTGAAACAGCAGAAATGAGTCATATACCATATGCTTCCGCAGTTGGTTCTATCATGTATGCTATGACTTGTACTCGCCCTGATGTGGCCTTTGCTTTGAGCATGGACAGTAGATATCAAGGGAACCCTAGCAAAGCTCATTGTACTGCGGTTAAGAACATTCTTAAGTACCTGAGGAGGACTAAGGAATGGGTTCTTACTCTCGGTGGGAGTGATGAATTTAGAGTAATAGGGTATAGCGATGCGAGCTTTCAAACCGACATAGATAATTTCCGCTCTTATTCGGGCTGGATATTTACCCTGAATTGAGGAGCAGTGACATGGAAAAGTTTCAAGCAGGAGACTGTAGTTGATTCAACGTGCGAATCAGAGTACATAGCAGCAAGCGAAACATCGAAGGCGGTGATATGGTTGAAAAACTTCATCGGACACATTGGAGTCATTCCATCCATAAAGGAGCATATGGAGATTTTCTGCGATAATTAAGGGGCGGTTGCCTTAACCAAGGAACCGAGAGATCATGGAAGATCCAGGCATATCGACAGAAAATACCACTTTAAAAGACATCAAGTAGAAGAAGGGCACCTCGTGGTGAAGAGGATATCGTCAGAGGACAACCCAAGAGATCCCCTTACAAAGGGACTGACCAGGGTTAAGCACTTGCACCATGCAAGGGGCATTGGCCTACAGACGATATTAGTTTTGGTGATTAGATAAATCGATAGTTGTAATAGCTAAATTGTAATTAACATTTGATGATTGAATAAAAGGAGTTTTATTTATAAGTAAAGTTACTGTCTTGTGTCAATTGTTTACTATTGTTTCACTTTGCATGTTTTGACTTCCAGAATAATAAGATTTATTC